GAAGCGAATTTACTTTTCGGGCCATTTTATTACTTATATATTAAAGCACCGCGGGGTGGACAGGCACCCTACTTAAATCCTTCTACAAAACGTTGAATCTGAATTACTATGATATATAACATTTCCATAGGTATAAARGTTACCCTAAGTATACGAATATCCACTGTGCGTTGCACGTCTCTGCACACGTAACTGGTAAAGTATAGACACAAGGTGATTAATGGGAGAACCTATGAAAAAAGAAAAGAATAGGAAAGGAAATAAATATCAGTATCATAGCGTTTGACTTCTAGCTCTTGGTATCTCTCATCGAAATCTGTTTAAGAAATAAAATAGCTTTAATTGTTTTATCATATAGCAGCAAAAAAAAAAAAAGAAAATACTAAGCCCTAATACTAAGCCTAAGTTTTTTTTTCAATAATGAGAATATGTGGACCGCGTGGCACTTTTGAAATACATGAAGATATAGAATATAGATAAGTTATAGTGCTTGGGAACGAGGTTATTCAATGGTGTTTTCTTGCACTTCTTTGTAAAACAGGCTGCGCGCGAGGGTGTCTTCAGCAACGCACTCTGTTCAGTAACACAGTTCAATCCAACCAATCTGGTCGAGCGTAGCGAGGTGGAAATATGACAAAACAACGAGACATATGGATTGAAACAATGGAGTTTTCCCTGTAGTCTAGCAGTCAAGTACTTCAGCAGGATTTTAATATCTCAGTCATTCTCATGGAGAATAGTCCATGTAGAAAAAAAACTCACTTTTAAATAGTGCCTAGAACGCGCAAGTTCCTCAGTCACCCAAGTCAGAGCAGCCACCACAGACCGTCCATCACTTCGAAACACGTCTGATAGGAGATCAACTCCTGGAAGAAGTTCCTTGACCTCAAACCCGGAACCGACGTCATACAAGGCGTAGTCTTTGTCTGCTGTGGGGTGGGGTAAGGAGGTGTGGAATAGAGCCTAATTGAATAGACACAACAAACAGTTAGAATAGATAATTACAGCCATTCTCAATCATATGCGTCCTCTAGYGATTGTTTCTGTATCGACGAARAAAGTCTTGGTGGACGTCAATCACAAGGCGTTTCCATAACATTGTCGGAAAACACAAAGCTGTAAGGGCATGTGCCTATAGAATGTCATGGAAACGCCTTGATTGACGTCCACCAAAAGCTTCTTCGTCGCGACAGAAACAATCGCTAGAGCGGCGCGCGTGATTGAGAATGGCTGTAAAGGGATGAGGCTCTGTATTTTACACAAGGAACAAATTCAACATCGGGCGTATTCTTTATCTATTATGGAGTAAATAGGTTAGACATTAGAGATGGACTGAACAAAATTATCGAAAAATGCGCAGTTACACCAGTATCAACAAGTAGCCATGTTTGAGATACCTTAAAAAGTGTGGCAGAGAGTAGACAGCACTCTTGGCGAAGACCAAGGTTAGATGTATGAACATACCTGTACAAAAACAAAAATAATTGGTAATAATTCCTAATAACAAGCCGTCACCATGCCTCATGGCTTGGTAAGCGATGTACTTTCAAAAGAACCATGACCTACAGYGATCGTTACGGTACTATGTAGTAATATATTGCAGTATAACATAACTAATATATTGGAATAGGTTAATTGGTTGTCAACGTAAATACCTGCGGACCGTGACTGCGAACACTTTATATTTCCTTGTTTGTATYTAACATAGCAGTTATTCTCGTTTTTAGCGCAAGAGTAATGCTTCTCCTAACACTTCTCTCGTGTTATGCAACCCCTGCGTTTTATATTTGCGCATAGAACGCGTTTCCTATATATTTGTTAATACATGAGAAACTTACTGAGCGATGTTAGAAGCAAGTAAAGCAGCCAACAAACAGCCCCAGATGCCACATCTTTGTAGGAACACCTCAGAAGGACTGATGTCTTGACCTTGAGCAGAAGCAATATCTCTCCAATTCTTCAGCGAATCAGATGTGTTGAGAATGTTGTCTAAGGCTTCAGCCCACCACTTGTACGCCATTCTGATGAATAATTATGTGGCAGTTATTCTAGTGGTGTTTGCTGACGATTACCGCGAAGGTCTGGAAGTAATTTTGCACGAGGAAGGAGGAAGGAGAGGTGGAAGAGAGGAAGAGAGGAAGAGAGGAAGAGAGGAAGAGAGGAAGAGAGGAGGAGAGAAGGAGAGGAAGAGACAAACTAGAGGATGGAAAAGAAGAAGAGGTGGGAGGAAATTAAGGAGAAGCAGAAAGAGAAGATGTAGAATGGGGCGAAGGAGAAGATGGAGGGGATGGAAGAGAAAGACAAGATGGATGATGAGGGAAGGAGGAGATGGGTTAGGAAGGAGAAGGAAATAAAACACATCACAAACATATACCTGATATTCCCACTATGGAACATGATGCTTCCAAGTTCATGCATRGCTTGAGCTGCAAGACCACGCTGCTGTCGACTTTGAAGCATTTCTAACACAACAAAATCAAAACGCTAGTCAGATATAAAACGAGTTTTAAATAGAAGACCGCAAGACTCAAGACATGTCTCATTCATACWCTCGTTCTGACCACCCCTAGACCTGACCCAAAGCTATGATGCATCTCTATTTACTTCTGTACRCCTAAGAAATATGTCGCAAGTCCCTGTTTTTGTTTTAGACACATCCCCTCCCCCGTGCTTTTTTATTTCTGACTGTGCATTAATTCCTATCTCATCACTTTCCCCATCACTATCCCGTGTCCCATTCTCTTGCTATTGCCTATATTGTCTTACCGATGGTCTTATCATATGAAGAGATCACCACAGCTAGCTGTGATGGCTGTAGTGTGTATGTAGTGATGTCCTCTACTGATTCATACGCCTGGTCTGTCAGATCAGTAGGCACATCTGTTGGTGGTTTGACCTGGGTGGGTACAAAACCAACACGTGATGATCCACGACGTAAAAGATGATGGCTGCCACCAGAACCTGATAAAAATATCAACAGTCATCAGAACAAGGATTAGTTAGAACGATCAAGCAATAAAATTAGTGAGGAAGGAAGAGACGGGGTGAGCGGATGACAGAGGGAGGAAAAAAGAGGGTGGGTGGGCGATGAATGAGTGGATGATCAACTGAAGAAAGGAGGGAGGGGTGAAGGAAGTGGGTGGGTGGGCGATGAGCGAGTGAATGATCAACTGAAGAAAGGAGGAAGGAATGAATGAAGGAAAGAGCCAGGGAGAGGAGGGAGTGATCTAAAGAAGTTAAACAAATAGAAACTACTGGTGTCCCCTATATGCTGGTATAAGACAATAAGAGACCAAAGATCATTATAAGTCTATACCTTTCTGTTGTCCTGCGAGATAACACAACAGCAGTTGTCTGCTGTGCTCAAGTACCCTTGCTGTATGGTGCTTGATGTCTAATGCCTCATGTAGATTGCTCAGACTCTCATTAATATCTATAGGCACCGAGATAAGACGCAACGCCTCCGTACTGCCGCTGTACACATCATGTCCAATAGGATCCAGATGGACCGCAGGCTCAATCGCTTCGTACTCAGCAGGAAYTATAACGATTTCCTCAGCCACGCCCGTTTCCTTGGATACCTTGATGACTGGCTGGCTTGCCGAAGGTCCATCATGCTCTTTGATTCGATCGGCGAGTTTCCGTTGAGCTACGATTAGCATGGGAAGTACAGATTCAGCGTAGCGACTCCTGTTAGACAAAGAAACAAAAATACGGAATAAGACAATATTGTTGGTTCATATAAACCAAGACTAAGTTCGCTTTTGGTGAGGTCATTAAATATGGCGGCGATGACGTCACATCCACGTCAAGGGTTCTAGTTACGTTTAGAAAAAAATAATCCTACCTTGACAATGCGTTAAACCGCAATATAATATCAACAACTCGCTCCSATTTGCCTTCATAGAACATCATTTCAGCAGCGTAAAGTACAAGCCTCTTGACCCAACGCATGTCCAGTGTGGTGTTGTTATCCAATGGGATCTCAAAGCGAAGGCTGGAGCCGCCCTTCTCTTCCTCTATACCTGCCATCAGCCCTGAATCTTGGGTTATCTCAACATCACCTTTCTTGACCTTGTCGTGCTTTTAAAGAAAGAAAACACATAGATATAGACRACGCGACTTCAAGACGCATGGCGTACTGTAGTAATGTCGGCGTTCTTTCAGGAAGTTCATATCTGGTTTCAAATGTTTGATAAAAACATACCTTTTTATTTTGTTCATTGTCCAGTTTAATATCCCCTTGCAGATGTACGATCATGTCCATCAAGCAATCCACTGCAGTGTAAAATGGCTTCCACAGGGCCCCCCTCAGGATGTCAATATCTGCCTTAACCTCCCCCTGTGGATCATCAGTTAGTCTYAGAATTCCTGCTACTACTCGGATCAAGACGGCTTGGGTCGTGTTCCACAGGCGACGACAGGCGTTTTGTAACATAGTCCAGTATTTACCACGATGAGCCAGGACCTGGAGAAAAGTAGAAATTAAAAAACGAAAAAATAGAGAAAAAAAACTGGAAAAATGAGAAACGAAAAAATGGAAAATAAAAAAACAATGAATAGAAAACCATTATAGTGTTGAAAAAAGCACAGGATTTTTTTTGTGGTAACCCTTGGGGGTGCGGTAGGGGAAGAAAACAAATAAACATCATCAAGTTAGAAAAATATAAAATGCATTGACCAGGTTAATATCAATATGATTAATATCAAAAAGTTCAACTTACGAYAGCGCGAGTAAGGTTGGAAAATGCATTCCCTAAGTAGACAAGTGGAGATTTATGAGTTGTTCCACCCTCCTTGTCGCTGGTAGTTACAGCAGTTACACGACTTCCAGACCTTAGGGATATACAACGATCAGGTACATTTAGTGCGGTATGTGATATGATTACTAGCTACTTCTTTCTTAGTGCGTCTCAGTAAAAACGTATCAGGGGTGTATCGAGGTGTCGGTCATGGGGGATGGGGGTTGGTAGACAAACGTACCATTTTCCCGCMAATACACAAGCGTACGCGTTTCATGTTTAGAGTTTCCCGACATATCTTGGAGTTTAGTAAAGCGTTTTGGGGTAGTTACGGTGACCCCGTAACTACTGCTCCCTCCCCCATCGCTACGCCTCTGTACGGAWAACTCACTAATAACGTCAACTAAAAAATAATAATAATACAGAAGCCAGTTTATTTACCTTCCAACATCTGCTTGTGTTAGAGCTTGTGATGCACGCTGCGTGCGCGCAGTTTGTGTTGTGGTCACCGCTGGTGAAGCATAGGGAGGAATCTCCATGACTGATCCACTAAACCCCATGGTCTGGTCAGGAGAATCGCGATGTGACGTACCAGCCCACGATATGATGAGGATACCACATGTAGAGAAGCTAAACCAATCAGGATCCATTTGGGACGGTCTAATATGGAATTGAAATAATAACATTGAAAAAAATGTAGCTAGTTTAAAGAATATTCCTCCCCACTCCCACCCCTTAATAATGTTTTCTTATCCACTGATATCCTTCCGACGTCTGACAATGATAATTTCAGTGTCACGAGGATATTCGACTGTCACGCAAAGTATAACAGTATTAGAAAACCTTTATGGAAATCAAACCCGCCATTTTTTTTTTTGTTTTGTTTTGTTTTGTTTTTTGTTTCGGTTGGTTTGTAGATATGAGAAATGATAAGACCGTCATGGACTTATCATAAAGTCTGTTATGATGGTGTTTTTTTAAAATTTTTTGTGGCGTGAAGTGAGTTAGGAACATCCCTTCCCCCTCCTCCCTGGATTATATATGTTTTCTAAGGTTACACCCCGCTCCGTGCATCTGTTTGTGCCTTTGCTCTTTGTGCTGTGTGCTTGTGCTGGGCGTTTATATATATATATATATACCCCTAAAACGCGTTCATGCAGGTTGCAAACTTGACAAGATCAGTTTTCTTGTTTAAGGTTGACTGAACACAATTTGCTCTTAGCACACATTTCCCACGGCGGTACATGTGCTCTCTGGAGAAGAGATGCGCTGTGAGAGTTGTTTGTGTTGCGATAACCGTTAATATTGATGTTTCAAAATTCAGTGGTTTTGCATATCTCTTTATAAACATTGTTGGAATACGGTACTGATCATGTTCCCTACCCATAAACTGCGTTCTCCTTGTCGCTTCCAGAAGCATCAATCTTCTCCAAGAAAACCTCGAGATTGCAACCAGAAGTCATCATATTAAGCTGAACAAGAAATAAAAACACACAATTGCATAGGGAGTCTTGAGGAAGAGTTTATCCGGTTTTCTTTTAGAAGAGGGGAGGGGGGGGGGAAGGGGGTGGGGGTGGGAAGAGGGATTCACTGGAGTAATAGGACGTTTGCATGATCGCGTCATTTAACTACCACTACCAAAATGCTTCGCGAATTTTCTTTCTTATTCAAATTTGTATTCCCTCATGAAAATAGTAAGACAATTGGTGCTAATTAACTGAACAAAAGAAAGTGTATAAGAGACTGTGGTAGTGGTAGTAAATGACGCTATAATACAAGTTACCTATTCGAAATGCTCAATTAAGATGAGAATATGTGGACCGCATAGCACTTATGAAATACATGAAGATATAGAAATATAGATAAGTTTAATAGATTAAGTAATAAGTTTTATAGATTAAAATATATATAAACAAAAGACAAAGCAATGATCTTTGTCAATCAGACATATCTAGTCTAMTCTTTTCTCAGATACMCTAATTAAGAAAACTAACTAATAACTAATAACTGAAGCTAGACCTTCAACAGTCCTTAKGGACGGACCATAGACTTTTGATGGGGGGATTGGGGGATTGGGGGATTGTAATTTTTTTTTACGTCTCATGGCTGTGCTTGAAATTTTTTTTTGGATTTTGCCCAAACACCCCTCCCCCTCTCCCCTTAAAAATCTAATGGTCCGTCCCTTATTTTCGAACTCTCATTTTGGCTAACGAATCTTCTGACTTACTATGTAAGTCATACTATGCCATCATGTTCATCAAAGAACGATCATTTATTTTTGGAGTTTTACCTGGACTTTCCACGGTAGTTCTTCTTTACTKACGGACCTCAGCTTCTTTCGTCTGTTACAAGATCTCCAATAATCTGGCAAGACATTYTGTAGCCTTTCTGCAGCCTTAAATAAGTCAATTCATCAAAACTTCAAGTCAAAAGTCAAAACATCAATTCAGCATATTTTTAATTGATTTTCGTGATTCAACGAGAATGGGTTTCTATGAAAACGTACCATGTGGACCGTAATATCTTCTTCTGTTTTACCCTTTAACTTGCCCGTCTGTCAAGACAAAATGAATCGATGAGATTAAAGCAAATTTCGTTTGACTGTAAAAAGCGTACGATGCAGAAAATAATATTTTGATGATGACAAGAAGATGATGATAATAATAATAATAATAAAGAGAATTTTATATAGCGTCAATATCGCCTGGCTTCAACAACGCTTTACGATATATTGATCATGAGAATGACATCGAATGGGATGATGATAATGATGATTACTACAACGATAGAGATGATGATGATTATAATGATAGGAATAATGATGATGGCATTTATGATGATAATGACAATAATAATAATAATAACTTTATTTCTTGTGATGGCAATAATGGTGATGATGATGATCGGGATTGTAATAATGAGATCGATAACCAAAAAAACAAAAAAAAAACAAAAAAAAACAACAAACAAAACAAAATAAAAAACGAAACGGAACGAAACGGAACGAAACGAAACAAAATGGTGGCTAAAAAAAACGAAAAAACCGCTTACCCTCCTCAGGGACATTAGCAGTGACTTTGGTTTGGACTGAGGTGGTCTGGCTGTTTCTAGTTTAGTTCGTACGCGCACTTCGTCTGGATCAAGTTCATCACCTTTCCTTGTGCTCTGGAAAAAGATATTTGTTTTCTTCTCTTCACATTATTATAATCATATAGCAATTCATACAATGTAAAAAGTACGGACTGAACTAGGACCTACCTTTCCAAATTCTACAATAGCAGTGGCAAATCGTTTTATTTTCTCGTCTTCTTGAACGGTTGGGGCCATGCGTACTACTGTGGGTTTGTTGGCCAGGACCATTTCGTTTCTCCTGCACGGTGATAAAATGAATTAATGTCAATATGACGAAAATTATTTTCATCATCATCATCATCATCATCATCATCATCCAGCACCATGTCCATCACCGCCACCACCACCATCATCCTCATCATCACCATGTCCATCACCACCACCACCACCACAGCCGTCATCATCATCATCACCATCATCCTCGCCACGTCCATCACCACCACCACCACCATCATCATCATCATCGCCTCGCCACTACCACCACCATTTTCACCATAATCACTATAATCAGTATCATAACTAGCATTATCTCCACCACCATTATTATCACCATCAGCATTCTCGCTAACATTAATAAGTACCTGATGATCCAAGTCATAGCATCATTAGACCATTCCAAACTTGTCTCAATGTGTCCTTCATCAATCGCTTTACCCACCACTTGAACAACGAACTCAAGAAATCGAGTACGACGCTTGAACTTAAGAACTAAACATAAAACACATATCAAAATGAATTTTAAACTATCTTTACTGCAAAATTTGAACAGGGTTTAAGTTTACCTTACGCGTTTGAATTTTCATACCAAAAAATCAAATTCTGATGATTGCAACGCTTTAACATTGCAGAGGAAAAAGGTAAAATAAAAACTTGAGTAATAAATGGAAATGTTGATTTTATTGGAATCATACGTTTGTACACTTTGGGCATGCAGTAGAGTGGTGGATAAAATGCAAAAGGCAAGATAATGTTTATAGAGCATGTACGTGCTACGTCATAACTGCCATCTTGGTTGACGATAACAAAGCATTCCTCACTAGCTTCTCTTGTTTGATCAACTAACATTGCGCCAGTGCCATTGTTATTCATATCTCAAGGGATTTAGAGTCACATGGTTGCAAACACTCCATTGCTCATCAATACACCACATATATTAAGTTTTTGATCCATAATGCATAAATTCTCTTACTTCATAAGTTCAAGGTGAGCATGCTAAATTGTATTTCCATGAGTTACAGACAGGTGAAAAAATGTTTTTTTTTTTTTTTTTTGCAAAGAAAATCACCCATCAGAAACGGTGAAGTCGCCAGTGTCCCAGTGATTTACAGCCAATATAATAACCACACATAACTGGATTCTAATGATGCCATCACTGAAGCAGGGCGTACCCCCTTATATGATAAGAGGACAGAAAGGAAGAGCCAGAAGAACAAGAGATTGAATGAAGAATTTTTTAATTGCAGCTGAAATTTAGGATCTAGATGAAAGAAAGAAATGCACACATCGTTGGTTTCGAGATTAAACTGTATAACAATTTAAAGGCTGGAAAATAAGAATAAGGACAAGGACAAGGACACGTATAAGAAAGAAAGAAAAGATAAAACCAATATCAAAACCATGATAGTAGCTTCAATCGAGATCAAATAAGAATAGAGTAAAAAGGGAAAACAGTAGTAAAGCCATCAGAAAAGAACAGAAGAAAGGAATGAAGTGAGAAAACAGTGTACTCTCATGGTAGGTATTCACTTTCGAAAGTCTCAGCATAGAGTGTACGTAGGAATAAAAAAAAGAATGGAAGGAAGGAAGGAAGGAAGGAAGGAAACAGCAGGCTCACTACAGGCCTTTATTTATACGAGCAGGAGTAGCTCAGTTGGTTAGTTGCCAGCCTTCAAAGCGAGAGATCCTCAGGATCTCTTCTCRACGTCTCTTTAGACTTCTCCCTAATCCATGTAGCTTCAAGATCAGGTTTGAATACTCCGCCTTACAAAAGAGCACTCATGAAGAGAGGGGTAAGTACCCACCGTCAGCTCCTGGTAGACCAGCTACTAGCTGAAGGAACACTGACGTAAATTATAAGTTATATCATCAATGATGACATAGAGAAAAAGCGCAGACTCACGATAGATATTCAGTATCCGCGTACTCATCATGGGTGACRTTAGGTTCATCATCAGAATGAATAGTGCTGGCATAATCATTCAGTTGCCAGTCATAAAGAAAACTCCAGCCTGATAAGTATATATAGAACAGAAAGATTGTATAGATAAGACTTTTAGTAATGAWATTAAACACAAAATAGAGAGGACAAAACACATACAAAAAGAAGTACGAAAGAAACATTGTCAGCATAAACCATAAACATTGATGTACAGTGATGACCAGCTGACCTTTACCGTTCAACTAAAGAAGAGAAAAGAATCGCTTATACGCGCGCGATTTGTTAGAACAAACTAGTCAGTTAAGGTTTAAGGAATACATGGAAATTAGTAAACCAARTGCTCTCAAAATTTGGATATCTTGTACTAAAAGGCACCACTATTGGGCCATTTATTTAGACGCGTAAAGCCACCTCTACCCAACCTAACCCCACCTCAATACAACCCCTTCTCTTKTAAATAGATTCACTTATGATGTGCAATACTGCATCAAATTCCATGCATTATCTTACCTTCTCTGTATGCTTCGGCTGCTGGTAAACTGGCTACGTATGAATGCAGGATGTTTGGATCTTCCGATCCACTCAACTCATCATCTTCGCGATGCAACGCTACAAGGAAAAGTCAATGTCAAAAATKGCGATGATGRTAATAATGATGATTACAGTTTTTATAAATGCCGAATGTATATACCGCGCATCCCAACAAGCCTCAAAACTCTTTGCTTTTTCAGAAGCAAAGCAATGCTTTATTTGATTGGTATTCAACAACCATGACAATGAGACTCGTTATTAAAACGCACATTATTATTCCTGCTATTATTCCTGATGGGTTACCTCTGGCCCATCGGAGCGAGAAAGACTGAGGATACCTTGTCCTTCCCACAGGAAGCCCAGAAAGAATTTAAGAGGAAACCAGAAGCGCACTATTTATAAACCTACCTTTCTGGCTCAGCTTAGTTATATAWGCCTCCAAAGACTTCAGTTCCTCATTCTGACCATCATGACTAGAGTTTAAATCCTTGTCCAAWCCTTTCCCTTTTCCTCCTTTCAGTTTGGGTTTCAGTTTCTTCTTATTCTTGGGGGGTGGTTGCCCCACTGTGTTGGCGGTTGCTATGGCAGCAGCTGCGTGCATTGACGTCATGGTGTTAGCACTGTCAGGTGCTGTTTCAAGGTGAAGCATTTTCTTGCCCAGTTCGACTATGGCACCACTCAGGGCCTTCTCACCCCAGTTGTATAAGGTCTGTCAAAGATACGGAAGAGAAATCCAATAAAGTCAGGTACAAAAGATTCAACACTATTGGGCAACAAAAAATCAAACAACAAAAACAAAAAATACGGACATGGCGTAATGCAAATAACCAGTTAATATCGCATGAAACATAAAATTGTCCCCGCAAAGACCAATGGGATCAAAGGTGGTGTAGCGGTAGTCCACTCGTTTCTCATTTTGGACTACTCGACATAGCCTGTTTGCAGAGTTTGTTAGGTTTCTCCCTTGATTTAAAGGTATATTTCTCTTATCTCTCGAGTTTTCCTTCATCTGCAAAACCCAGCACTCTAAATCGTAATTCGATCTGTGAGTTAGCCGTGTCCTGACTTTGATCAAAACAAAACGTTGGTTAGTGGTATCGATAATTTTTTAATATATTGTCAATATATTTTTTAATATAATTAATATATGTTTTTAAATATAGGCGGAAATTTTTTTTGAGATAAAGGCGATATTTATGCGAATGTGAGCATCTCCAATGGAAAATGCGCAATAGAAGTATTAAATCAGTTAATATTAATCATTAAAAATTATTATTTAGTTACCTTAGCAATAAAATACGTCATAGTTGCAATCATATGTGACAGGCTTTCTGTTGCAGAGGTTTGCCGACGATGACGAGTGAGTGATGGGACCTCTTGCAGCACCGCGTGACAACGAAGCAAGATCTGATAAAGTAACACAATACATATCAATAAAGGTTAAAAMACATACAAACGAAATATGTTTGGTCACGTGTTGGTACCTGTATGACCGGTTTAGCCGGTATCTGTTGTTGCACCATGGGGGCCAATAGTCCATAACACTGGACTATAGCTTGTAGGCACATCGCCGTGTCGTTAAGCCAGCCTGCTACTTGAATGGCCAGCAGAAGTCTCTCGCACTCATGTAAGCGAGCAACCTTTAGAAGAAACATTGATAAAGCTTATAAATAGACTTCGCTAATTTACAGTTTTGTTGAAAGAAATGTTTTAACATTCCATTTGCATTTGATCATATAAGATGAAAGATGAAATGCCAAGGGAATGGAGGGAAATCAAGAAAAGCAGAGAAAGGGTGAATACGGGTTACAAAGGTTCAAACTTAATAAGAACAAGAGGATACGAGACGGAAAAAAGCAGGGAATTCGGAAGAGAAAGAGAAGAAAAAAATCTTGAAGTGCACTGTCCCCCCCCCCTCCCCTCCCCTCACCCCCAAAAAAAACAACAGTTTTTCCTATAAAATTTCTGGGAAAAAAGAAGTATATTCGAGAACTTCTCAATCATTAATGCTAACCTGACCATTGTAGAGAGGACCATTGTCACATAACGAGTTACAATACAGACAATTTTCCCTGACGCTGAGGTCAACGGAGATGAAAACTGACTGTAGAAACAGACGAATCAATACTGACGATGATCGTTGAAGCTTGTCCTCATCCAATCTATGAGACAAAACAAACAGAAAAGCTATAAAACAAGATGTTAATACCCTATTATAGGGCTACAATAAACTCCTTGCATTGATTTCCTAGAAGAATATTTCTGGGGGACAAAACAATAAACAATAGGCCGTCTTTTCTTATGCAAAAAAAAAAGAATCCAATGTTTTGTCCCCCAGAACAACTTCTTTAGGGACTCTTTAGGGACTCTTTAGGGACTCTTTAGGGACTCTAATACACACTTTTGTGACTAGACTTACACTTTGAGCCTAATCACCAAATCCTGTCCTGTTTTCTCGATTCTCTTCTCCTCTTCAGATGGTTTGGGGTCGGTAACAAAATGATTCCACAACACAGAACATGCTGATTTAGCTACAGATGGGATGCCAGCAGTGTATGCAATCTGTATTACAAGATATAACCACATATTAAAGGGTTACACTATAGAAAGCCTGCAAAACATACTTTTGTTAACTCTATAAGTCAAAGGATTTGTCATAATATATGGATTGGAAAAAGGTAGAATGTAATGGAAAATTGCCTTTCTAGTAACCCTCTTGAAATCCTAATAATTTTGGTGCTCCTCTTCGTATCCCCCCCCCCCCCTAAATTGAAGAAAATGATAAAATATATGTTCTCTGAGCATCCAATTAACGGTTTTGCTGCGTCCAATATTGCCTTACAATATTGCTGCCTCCTTCATAGTCAAATAACACCCTCCCCAAACAACACTAACAACTCATAATCTATTAATGCTCTCCTAGTTCTAGGGAAGGTGTGCTTTTATTATTGGGATAGCTGGGGGATTCGCAGTAAATTGGGTTAGGGTTGTAGCCATCCCCCCTTTGAGCATGCAATTCATGACCCTCCTATTAATTCATCAAGGAAACACCTTTGTCAAAATAAAAAGGTCTGACCCTTCGAAAAAGTTACCACTTCTTCTTCCCAAAAGCCCCACTCCCTCCCTCCCCCCCAACCCCACACGCACAAATAAAAACCGAACCTTCCCTTACTAGATATACGAACCTGTGCTAGATATCCCCAGGCCATCAGTGTTGGTAGGGAATGCGCAGCCAGTACTGGACGACTTGTAGAACCAATAGTCTTACCGATTATTTGACCCTTCGTGTTGTAGGCTGCTATAGCGAATACGTATCTTTGGTTTGGTTTTAGTCCTTTAACCATCAATGCGCAGTCGCTGGTTGCGGGAGTCTGGGTTCAAATCAAACAAAAAAATTCTAAGTTGTTATAGCACATAATATGATGCACCCATTTAGCTTGGATCGTGAGTATGGCCCTATTCCCAAAACATGAAAAGAAAATGCGTCCTAATTTTTACTAGTGGACCTGCATATGTGTTCCGAATATTATTGAATGGGGCGAGATTCAGATTAACTTGATGAAGAGTGTTACTTTAGAAGGGAGGGGGCGATGTATTTCTAACCTCTTCTCCTGTTCCAGGCAGCTGGTAATCGTTTAATCTGACTTTGATGTTATTACCACTGGCTGACCTGGCAAAKAGCCGATACCACGCCACCTAGAGAGAAGAAGATGAAAATACATAAACGTTGAGACAAAATAACACCCTTAAAGGTAAAATTAACGACAACCGCAACAACAACAACAAAGACCGCAACAACAGTAGCAACAACTAAAAACCAAGAGGAACAGCAGCAACAACAGCAGAGGCAACAGGAAACACAACAATAGTAACACAACAATAGTAACACAACAATAGTATCACAGCGTGGGACAATCACAACAGAGCTAGGCTCCAAAGATCGAATTAGAATTTAGGATTTGATTTTTGAGGAGGGAGGAAAACCGGAGAACCCGGAGAAAAACCCTCGAAGCACAGGTGAGAACCAACAAACAACTCTACTCACATACGACATCGAGATCGGCAGGACTCGAACTCGGGCCGCATTGGTGAGAGGCAGCGCATTAGCAGCGCCTTAGCTTCCCTTTCAAATATTATTATTATTAACAAACATTATCAAATTAACACATTAACACTGAAGCACACGAGATAAAAAATAAACATCATATCACTGTATTTATAAGGGGATTAAAGATATCTCTCCCTATAAGCCGTTTAGAGGATGAGAAAAAAATGGGTCGATTTTACATTCCATTCCATTATGAGTAGGGAGAGGCTATGTAGCAAGCAGTTGATGTAATGTATTCATAAAAACACAATGATTCACATCTAATACAATAGATAGAACGACGATACCATACAATAGTTTTCCTGAATAAATTAAATCAACTGAGTGCTATGTAGGTTCTCCCTCCCATTGTGAGTATGTTTTAGGTGACGAAATGGACGCCATCTTGGAAATATGTCACYCAAAACAGTCCCATAAGGCACCAAAAAGCAAACTCGTCCCAGTTTTTTCCTCAAACCCGGAACGACTAAAAACTGATGGTACACAACGAGCTACCTTATCATTGCTGGGTTCAAATTGTGCTGGCTTGAAAATCATCATGGTGGGACTGCGATAAACCAACTGAGGGGGTGGAGGTACGTCACTTGCTACAACTGTTGATTCCTTGCCCGGTCTGTTCCAGGATAATAGTTTACGATCCTGCTGCTGGGCCTTCTGTATCAACTCCATGCTTTCCTGTTAGTAATCACACACAACAATGATGGGTTGCAAGTATTCCCAAGATAGTCTAAAGTCAARACATGGCGGCCATCTTCCTAATGATAAATATTTTGTTTAATTGCACCGACATGGTCACGATGACTTAACGTGCAGCACGTCGGAGTGCAGCTCAATTTGCAGGGCAAAACAATATGTTTCCAATTCTCAAGAGAAATTATTTTGTTTTATCCTCCAAATTAAACTGCTTTGAATCACATGCAAGGACTATTGAGGAAGAGTAGGATATCCAAACTTTACAGATCTCCTAAAGCAGCTCGCGTATAGCTTTACTAAGAGTCTCTTATCTTTGATGTCGTGGACACGTCCGTGACTGTCGCCTGCAAAACACGACCTTGACCTTCCCCGTTTACGAGTAATTGACCTCACACCACCCCCCCCCCCCCCTCCCCCATTGTCATTAAAGCTAATCACATTTTACCGGGTTACACATTATTACCTTCAAGAGCTGTGTTTGTTCTTCTGTTCCAGACATTCCTTTAAGTGTAACAGCACACCCAGCCTTTTGCATCAATACTAAAGCCTTTGATAAAGGGTTCTTATCACATGAGGCAATAATCTCGCTCTCGAYGTCACTGAGCTGCTGAGTAGAGGTGGTACTTGACTTGTCAAACTATAAAGAATTGACCCTTTTAGCTTTGCCTTTTCCCATTTCAGAGAACGTATGTTATCTCTTTGTTTAACGGTTGTGCACGAGAAGACACATGATTATCGATACAATTAAAATAAAAAACTCAATAAAGAATAACTAGTTGAATGAAATGAAAAACAACAGCCGATAATGAATAGGGGTAAGTTCTTCCCATTTCAAGCTACTTGTTATTTCCTCTAGTATCATTTCTTTGTTTACTGGTATCCCTGCGTCCAAGTTGAAAAAGTCCAAACGAACACCAAATTATCTTGTTAAGATGCTCATATTGTAGAATGCTGTGCGTTACTTGAGGATATAGGAAAACGAAGCGGAGGGATGAATGGAAAAGAAAAGAAACAAATGGAATGGTTTAGATTACCTTGGTTTTCTTCTGAGAAGAGCGTCTTGATTCTGGATCTGTGTGGGGAAAAAAGCTGAAAATAAGCTACTTTCTAAGYATAATCATCTGGAACGATCATCATCATCATCATCGTCAACACCATCATCTTCATCGCCATCATCACTATCACTTTATTATCACCACCATCATCATCACCATCACTTTTTTATCACCACCACCATCATCATTTTTATCGCCATCATCAACCATCACTTTATTATCACCACCATCATCATCATCTTCATCGCCATCATCACCATCACTTTATTATCACCACCATCAACATCACCATCACCATCACCATCACTATCATCATCATCGTCACCATCACCACCATCTCCATTACCACCAACATCGCTCGCACCATAGTACTAGACATTATCAACGACTAAAAAAATTAGCACTGCTTAAATAAGATGATTAAGATCACCCCTTTCGACTACAAAGTCTAGTCCGCACGAGCAACCTAAATGCAAATGCAAAAGTAATGGCAAGCACAAGCAATGTTCACACGTGAAAAGGAAATTTGCGCAGTAGTGCAAATGCAAAGACGTAGCATTCACTGCAAACCACTCACCTTGCCCTAACGATGCGTGTTTGACAGCTACTCGCTGATGTACAAACAATAGCTCCATGTGTAACGCCTTCACCATGTTCTCTAACCTGTTACTGTCATCTTCTTTGGAATCCTGTTCATCATTTGTAATTGAACCCTGTCATTACAAATAACACATGTAAATTTAAGCTGGGCGTGCGTGACATCGATAGAAAYTGTGTGACTTACATAAAAGACATAGTAGGAAACCAAAACAGTTCACCACGCAAACATAAGAGTTCGCAAGAACACTAAACCAGACAGAAGATACAGAGAAACAACCAGACAAAAAAAAAAARAAAAATGGACAAACAGACACGAAGAAGACGAAATAAAAAAAGGAAAAGTAGACAGACGAAAGTACTACTAGATCGATGTCTCTAGATGACTCAATGGACAAACGGACAGACAGACACACAGACAGGCACATAGAAACGAATAAAAGGGAAGGAAACCTTACSTTGACAGAACCTGGATCAACGATATCTTTACCATTAGCCTGCGCAAAGGCATCTCTTGCTCTACCAATACCTTGGAACCCTTGATTTAACACATCACATGCCTTGGCTAGCAACCCTCGAACTCCATGACTATACCCTTCGTTAGTCAAACCAAGTATAGATGAATACTTGCTGGACTCTGATGAAGCGGTCTGACATCGCTCAACCTTTTCTGCGTTATCAGATTCTAGGACTTTCTGTCACGGGTAAAAAATGAAGTCCTTAAAGATTGGTGGAGGGGTGAAAGGGGCGAACGGACGGACAGACAGACGAAATAATTGAAGGAAGTATCAGTAGATGGATAAGTGAATGAGTAAATACATGTTGGTGAGTGATGGGCCAATGGATAGTGATGAAGATGGTGATTGGTTGATGGGTGATGGGTGATGGAATGGATGGGCCCGGGAGTGAAAAAACAAGCGATCCATCAAACACAAACGCCACAGTACATTTCCAAACCTTTTTGCTGCTGTCTTGCTTTTTGTCTGTTTGAGATTGCGCTCCTGGATTGGGCGACTCCAGCTCACCACTATCAGCTCTGGGCTKATGTTCGTTCAGATTAGCTTTGCACTCAAGTACAAGGGCTAATTTGAGTGCCACCTCAGAGAACAGGATGGGATCAAAGGTACATGCATCACTCCAAGAAAGAGCTGTGTGTACCACGGTTATCAGGTACATCCACTGAGAAATAAGCAAGAGCATTATTACATTAATAATTATATAATGYATTTTATCGCGCTCTGATTGGATGAGAAAAAAAGAAAAAAAGTTGAAAAAAGATGAAAAAAGTTTAAAGAGCAAAAACTACTATGCAATTTTACAGACACCTGCTATTCCAATCAAGGTCATCGTGAACGGCAGTCAACTATAAATAAACCAACAACGGCTAACTCTTTCCTCACACTTAAGGGACCA